ACTGAAAGATTTTATCTTGCATTAGATGGAGGCGGTGAGGCTAGGGCTATTGCTCTCGACATATCTAAAGCTTTCGACAAAGTTTGGCATGCTGGTCTTCTCCATAAGCTTGCTTCATATGGTGTTTCTGGGAAAGTTTTTGAGATTATCAAATCATTTCTTTCTGACCGGTTTATTAAAGTCATCCTTGAAGGCCAACACTCTTCTTTATTTCCAGTAACTTCTGGGGTTCCCCAAGGTTCCATCCTGGGCCCTGTTTTGTTTCTTATCTACATAAACGATCTTCCTGACAACCTTTTATCTAAAGTAGCTCTTTTTGCTGATGACTCAACTTTATACTCCTGTCTAGACAAAAAGTCTTCTCTTTTCGATCGCCTAGAACAAGCAGCTGATCTTGAATCTGATCTCACTTCAGTAATAGATTGGGGTTCACAGTGGCTTGTGAATTTCAACTCTAAAAAAACCCAATTGCTTACTGCAAACAACTACCGTAATATGGTCAACATTCCTATATTAATGAATGACAATCCTCTTACTCAGTCGTCCTCTTTACGTCTTCTTGGATTATCGCTTACTACTGACCTTTCATGGAAACCATATATACAATCGATTGCTAAATTAGCTTCTGCTAAGGTTGCTTCTCTTTATCGTGCTCGCCATTTCCTTACTTCTGATTCCATTCTCTACCTCTACAAATCTCTTATTCGTCCCTGTATGGAATACTGTTGTCATATTTGGGCTGGTTCTTCTAACGATTCACTCTCTCTTTTTGACAAGGTCCAAAAACGCATTGTAAATGTTGTTGGACCTGGACTATCTGCTAAGCTTGAACCTCTTTCCCATTGTCGTAAAGTTGCATCTCTTTCTCTTTTCTACAGATACTATCATGGTCACTGCTCAAAGGAGTTATCATCTCTAGTTCCATCAACTAAAATTCATTCTCGTTTTACTCGTCATTCAGCTAAGTCTCATTTGTTTTCTGTATCTGTCCCTGCATGCTCTAAAAACTTTTATTCATCTAGTTTTTTTCCCCGCACTTCAATCCTTTGGAACTCTCTCCCATCTTCATGTTTTCCTGACTCATACAACCTTCAATTTTTTAAGTCTTCTGTCAACCGTTTCCTTGCTCTATAACTCTGTTCTTTTTTTTTCCTAGTAACTCCCAACTTAATAGTGGTTGCTTGCAGCCTTGTTGGGAGTGAATGCAAATAAAAAAAAAAAAAAAAAAAAAGAATAGATAATTAAGAATAGAATAAAGAAAAAGAGTAGTTTCTTGGGTAATCGAGATCTGTAAGATTTTACCAACTATATGTATGGATGAAAGCTTTCTAATAGATTAATTTGGATCTAAATATATATGCGTTTTTCATAAAGTATTCAACTGATTTATTATCTTATGAAACCAAGAATAAATGTAAAAACTGTTAAACTACTAAGAAGTGACTACTAAAGGACATTTTTTTCGAATAAATAGTTATACATGCAAAAGAAAAAACTATGCTCGGACAGTATTATGACTATTGAAAATCTTTTTTTTTTATTCGTAGAAACAGCCCACCAATCAACTTTTACAGTTGATGACCTTCCTGATGAACTTTTTCTACAGAACAGACAAACCTATCGTTTTTTGTGCTGCACATTTTGTAAAACAATCACTTTTGACCAATTCTCCAGCTAAACACAATGTTGTACTTCATCCACAATCGTAATCCAACTCAACATGACTTGGCTATACCTAGTAATTCTGTCAACACAAGCTTCTACTTTTTGAGTTATAAAAAAATAAAAAATTGCCTTGAATTGAACTGGTTTCGAAGAAGGTAGGTGATTTCCGATTATTTTTTAAGAATGTTGCCAACAGTAATCTCAATATATTTTTGTTTATTAATAATCAGCGTCTCTTAATTATGAAGAAACAATTTAGAAGTTTTCTAAATAGTTTCTTAATAATTAAGAAATCCCGGCTTGGCTCCACATTTGAGTAGCGGAAGGCTGCATAAGCGCGAATTGGCATGTGTGCGAACTGGTATAAGTGCGAAGCGTTGCAAAAACTGGCATAAGTGCAAACTGGCATATGTGCGAATTGGCATAAGTACGCCAAAACATTTTGCAAACATTGGCATAAGTACTAATTGGCATAAGTGCGAACTGGAATAAATGCGAAGCAGTTGCAAAAACTGGCACAAGTGTGAACTGGCATAAGTGTGAATTGGCATAAGTGTACCGAACAAATTTTCAAACATTGGCATAAGTGCAAACTGGCATAAGTGTAAAGCAGTAACAAAATCTGATATAAGTGCGAACTGGCATAAGTGCGAATTGGCATAAGTGCACCGAATAAAATTTCAAATATTGGCATAAGTGCAAACTAGTATTTTGCACTTATGCCAATTCGGACATATGCCTATGTTTGCAAGTTTATTTGACACACTTATGCCAATTCGCAGTTATGCCAGTTCGCACTTGTGCCAGTTTTTGCAACTGATTCGCACTTATGCCAATTAACACTTATGCCAATATTTTCAAAATGTTTTAGCGCACTTATGCCAATTCGCACATATGCCAGTTCGTACTTATGCCAGTTTTTGCAACGCTTCGCACTTATGCCAGTTCGCACAAATGCTAACTCGCGCTTATGCTAGTTCGCGCTTACGCCATTTGCATTTATGCCAGTTCGCACTTATGAAATTCGCGCTTATTCAGTCGTCCCATGAGTAGTACTTCGGTATGAAGGGAACTTGTCTCGATTAACTTTGCCATTACGATGTTTCCTTCTCGACTAGAAAGTAAATAATCTACGACGAGTAAATGAAAATTATTAATTATTATTGTTATTATTATTAATATTGTTATCATTAATATTATTATTATGCTAAATCTATCTTCTTTAAACTTTTATATTTGTGATGATAATTAACTAAATACATTTTTTTGTTAAATGAAATTTTTTTATTGTAATAGATGACAATAACGTCCGTTTCCCGAAATCCAAACAAAATTGCGCTTAAAATTGAATAACTCCGCTTTGTTTTGAAATTTCAAATTAATTATTTTTAAATAAATAAGCTGGAACTTTAACTGAATCAAACTATATCAGGCAACAAGTAAATTGATAATGAAAATGTCGTTCTTTTTTAATTTGTAGAGACACGTGTTCCTAAATCCGAAAGTACATATAAAATCCCAAAAAATAGCATTCAGTTTAATTTAGTAAACAGTTTATGCTAGCGTAGACCTCTAGTCTAGAGTTAATTAAAAAGAAAATTAGAATATTAGCTTAACTTTCATAATTCAATGTAAGGATATAAAATTGCGATGATACAGTGTGCGCACTATCTATTTACTAGATTATACCTTCCATTATTTTTTTTGAAATCAGTTTAAAAAACTCACCTTTACTGTCATGGTCTGTCTCTGCCAGTTAACCACTATTAACTAGCAGAAAATTCAGCTATTAGTATCAGGTGGGTTGCAGCTTTAGCGAATGCTCTCCCATTAATCGAATCGGATGCTTCTAGTTCTTTTTTGCCATTTAGCGGTGAAGGTTTTTATCTCTTACACAGGTTTGTTTTTAAATAGCAGCAATTTAAGGACTGAAACATTGTTCAGTAAACCCTTAATTTTGTTCTCTGAAAGTTATTATTTTATATTACTCCACTATTATAACCGCATTTGCCATTAAAAGTATCGCAGTTTTTATTGATTCGGAGGTGGCGATCCTAGCTGCATTGTTCAGATTTAATAATTTTTAAAAACTAAAATGAAAAAGTTTCAGTACTCATAAAATATTGATTTAAAACATCAAGCTAAAAAAGTTAAAACTAATAAAAGCTATTCATAGTCCTTGCGCAAGAGTTTAATTGTTTCGTTATAGCTAATAATACAAGGAATACACGACCAGTTTGAACACTTTTGCCATGCAACCGATATGCTGCTTGTAGCTTCATAAGTTTTCGCAGGAATAACAAAGACGATTGATACGATAGGGATTACAGCTCGCAGCAGACATTTGTATACATCGTTTTAAAAGCTTTTGTGCGGCCGTGGCGCAGTGGTTAGAGCGCTTGCTAAAGGAGCAGAAGATCCAGGTTCAAAACGAACTCTGGACACATTTTCGCATCACGGTAAGGAAGAAGGCGTGAACTTCCTGGTTAAATGCACTTCCGCGGTGCTCTGTGACAAGACCGAAAGGACTTCTTGGGGCACCTAGATAACAAGTTAAAAAAAAAAGGTTCTTTTTTTATTTTTTTAATCTTTGTTCTTTTAGAATTGTAGCACCTTTTTCTTTTTTTCCTCATATTACGCCGTACATATAGCATTTACAAGTTTTGTAAATTAAAGGTGTAATATTTACAAGTTTCGTGAGTCAAAATTCTAGTCTAGATTTTTTCTTAAATAACTTTTTTGACTGCTTTTTTATCTAGTTTTCTTATTTTAACAGCTTGCGTAGTTTCGTCCCGAGCCTTTGCAGATAATTTATTTAAATTATAACATGTTGTTCTTTTGATTATTATGCCTTTTTTTTTTAGCGGTAAAAAGCTTCAATCTATATCTGAGCACAGTAAGCAATTATTTTTTTAATACCAAAAGATGCTTGTTTAACGGCATTATTGATACTATCCAGTTCTTTGAGCAATATTTTTTTTGTTGAAATCTATTCATAAAAAGTAATCCAGTAGTATCATTCAGTGAAATGTGTGAATCGGCCGTCTTTTGAGAAAAACATTTGTCAATTTTGTCATTTATTACATCTTGAGAAATTTCTTTCTTGTAATTAAAAAGTTTCATAGTATTAAATTTTTTTTAATATTCTCATTAATAATTTTTTAATGTTCTCATTAGTCTTGTCTTCTAATTTATTAATCAATTTTTTTTTGAAAATCCCACAAAAATCAAAAAAGAGGTAACAATAAGAGAACTAAAGCTGCTCGAAATTAGGTACTAGGGAAATCTACGGTTTACAGAAACGGTTTATTATTATTGATATCGGTTCCGTAAAC